GCGAAACCAATTTCCGCACCTATTGGATAACCAGGTTGCAATATTTTCCTATGGCTTTGTGGGAGCTCTCAACCTCTTTGCAAGTTTTCTGCTAGCTTGGTCCGATTCGATGGCATGATTCCTCCTTACTAACAACTTCAGATGGGAGCTAACGTTTTTCGCCCTTGAACCTCTTATCTCCGTCTCGAAAGCGCTTTAAACAAGTCTGACATTGCCTCAAGGATGACACGTTCCCGGTGAACCTTTCGCACACGGTTCGATCATATCGCTGTTTTCTTTTGTTTAATGTCGTAATACGTGCATACGAGCAGACGACGTTCCTTAAAAAGGATTTCTCCTGATAAGTATATAGAGAATATATATTTGCTGTGTGCGATAGAGGTTCAGTGGATGATATACAATATTATTTATGTAGTACAGCAATAAACAGAACAATACAGCGATCGGGATGAATATGTGCAGAACTGAATTGAAGAGGGAGACGAAAGATCTATCCACCCCTGGGTGATCTATTCATACCTCTTGGGCCAAAAAACAAAGTACAGAACATCTTTCCCGCCAGATCACCTATGGCTCGAGATCTATGATTTCGGTGATCGCGAAAGTCGCGATGTTCCTGAACAAACCTCTTTGAATGGAAAACGTCGTTTGACAACCTACTGCTTAGTGATAGCTGATATACTGTCGTATGGTAGAACACGTCTCTCAACAAGAAATTTTGCTGTTTTCAAGGACATTCGCTGAAATAAAAAATAACAGAATAAAGATAGCATTTCATATTGGCCGAACTATGACGGATATTCGTTCGATAACTGTTAGGATGATGGACAAGTCGTTTCAGCTTGTGGTACTAACGTTCAATTTATGGATCAGGGTATAGCAAATCAATAGCCAAAGGCATGATACGTCCTAGTTGTGTTGGCTTCGCACAAACTTGGGTAATTAAACGATAAGGGCAGAGGTGATGTGGTGGCAAGTGAGGCACTTCACACACACATGCTTACGATTCGAATCCCTGATCGATATCTGCCTAGGCCAACCAAGCCTTCCATCACTCTAAGGTCGGCTAATTGGTGCAAGACTCGTCTGGGAGGATAAAGCACTAAATTGCACATCGGCGCCACCGCAAGTCGTTGTATAGGCCACACATACGCATTCAATACGGCACTGCTATTGTGAATGGAAGTCGATTGCATGGGCGCATCCCTCAGACGGGATTAGTGGCACTAGATCTATCATGGCATAGCATTCGCTGATAGCCTGGTATAAAGCTGCCGCAGCAAAGTATCCAGAGCAGAGGTTGTCTTTAACTGCTTCTTGCCTGCTTCTTGACTGCAATTATGCTTGAGCAGGAGACGGCAGCCAATTCCCTAGCAGGCTAATTGATTTACCGCGCACGGTTCAGCTGCCGAAAATGCTGTAGCCGTTTCTTTTGGTGAGTTTGCTTTGTTTCCGCACTCTTTCCTTCGTGAATCGATGGTACTTACAAGGGTTCCATTCTATTTGAGGTTATGGCATCAGCCAATATTATGCCGTTGGAATGCCTTGAAGGTACAGTCCACATTAACTTTTAGGTAATTAGTGTAAGCAAAATAACAAAAATTACGGTATGGAGCACAGACGTTTTGATTGATAGGCGAATTTTAAGAAATACAAGGCTGCAAAAATGGATTAGAAAGGCGTTGTACGAGATTATGACAACAGAAAGGGCATGGAAGGGGTACCTGAACGAGGTCTCACTTGGTGCAACTGTGTAACCCTACTAATCTACTCCAGCTAAAATTTGGGTTCATATAATAGGCGCTCAGATCGTCAAAATCGCCATGAATTTCGCCGCGCAATTTGCCGCGCGCAGCTCGAATCGCACGACTGTACACACACCCATAACACAGACCTACAAACATTCAAGCACCTAGCGAACTAGCTAGCGAACTATGATGAATTGGTGAGATTTCTGGGAATTTATCGATTCTGCTTCAGCAGTGCACTTTTCGTTGGTGAAGGTTTGCATACATTGTGGGGAGGCAATTTGTCCAGCAGCTGGAGAAGGATGTCGGGGATCTTAATTTTTTTGCCCATAACCGAGCCCTCCTCCACTATCACTGTCATCGCAATTATAATATAAAAACAGTGCACAAGAAGAGCTGAGACCTGTTAAGCCGCTCCAAAACATGGAGGTTGCTTGTTTACTTATTCAACGGGTTTTTCGCTGGAAAATGAGATTGCAGGCGTAGGCTAGCCCATCATTACCCAAGAAAATGATTAAGAGTTTCCAAAAAACTCGCCAAGTGACGTTCTCATTAACATTTGACAGTTTTCAGAATAAATGGACCAATAATTTTGAGAAGTCTTTATATATTAGTCTTTTTATATATTATATTATTAGTCTTTTTGTGTCTCCCATATCCAACCCATCGACATCTCCGTCGTTCCCCATATCACATCCACTGCTATAGGAAATCCTTTTTTCCTTCAGTCGTCACGACCAGTCAAACTTTCTTTCCAATAGTGACTCGTTTAAACCTATGCATAGGTCTTTAGTTCGTTAGGCCATAAATGGCAGACAGATGTGGAACTGGGAAGAGACTGACCAGACTTGAACAGGTCATCGGGATAGCAAATCGATCAGATTTGGTCGGCTGCCACATCGGAGGATGAACATTTCGCTGATTTCTCAAGTGGTGTAACGCGAACCAAAAAATCACCACACCCAGCCGAGTTTCGTAAATTTTCCGAGTGTGCGGTTAGGTTTTGGTCCCACTGACGGGGACGTGAAAGATCGGTATGTGTCAGGGTTTGGCTAAGTTAGTTGGTTTACTAAGTTTGACCATTTAAATCCAGGTGTTGCTTTAAAATTCTGTTCACACCATTCTCATTCTTAGAACTTTGAGTGAAACTCGTTACCCTCACTTTGTGAGGGAGAGCTGGTGATAGCTCCCTACGCCCCCTACGCGCTAGTTGCGTCAAGGGCTTTGTTCGAGATTTCTTTCAGAAAACCTTGCAAGGACAGCTTTTCACTTTTTTCGTTGTGGGGAACAGGAAGAGAGAGAAGATTAACGACGTGATCCGTTCCTTAAGATTGCTTCCAGCAAGTTGGGGGAACACTGCAGATAACCATAATGTAGCCGCCAATCATGAAGGTCGGATCAGTTCATTCTTACCGAACGGACAGCTTACGATCAAATAAGTGCACTGCTGCTTTGCTCAGAATAAACGTCGAGCGATGTTAGATGCCAGTGTCGGTCTCCATCTCCACCTGTGGCATCCTTTGCCAGTTCAGAGGATTTGGTACAACGGTTTGGAGGAGATGGTGTAGTGGCAAGTAGTGCACTATCACACACGCATGGTAACAGCCTCACATCCCAGATCCTACGCCAGGCACCAGATCTTCCATCCCTTCGGGTTGATCAATTGGTACCGGACTCGTGTGGGGGATAAAAGCAGTTCTAATAAATCGGCTGGCCACCGCAAGTCATTGTGTGGGTCATTACGTACGCATTCAATGAGCCACTACGATTCTTAAAGGAGGTCGAATGCGGGGGCACATCCCATAGACGGGACTGATTACGCCCGAACACTTTGGCCTTTTAACCTTATTCTGTACGGAATACACAAAACCTTCAAAACCTTTTCAGTAAGAGGAACCATTTGTTCCATGCCAGGCTTGTAGGAAACGGCCAAGAATTCGCAGTGTCAGAGAAGACGGTGGCCAACTATTTCACAGCGCGACAACCTGTCGAGGGCCTTGATATCAAGCTTGGCCAGAAAAATGGGGACAGGATTATCGTAAGGCTGGTAGTTGGCAAGACATTCTGGTCGAGGTAATGGCGGATGCTGCATTAGCATAAAGATCGGAGTGTTTTTTGCTCTTTCTCCAGCCGAAAACTCAACAACTCTTACAAAATATTTAAAGAATACAAGAAAGGCCCTTCCGGTCGACCAGTTCATTTTGTATTCAAATTACATGCAAGTACATACATAGGTTCCTAAGCAAGCGTGGTTCATTTTCCTTCCACCTTGGTTCCTTGGTAAACTGCTTGGTAAGCTTCGTAGTAAAGGAAAGTGTGGGAAAAGTTGGCAAAGCTAGTTTTGCTCCCAAAGTTGTCATTTTTCAAATGCATTCTTGACGATTTAAGTGAATATATTGATTCCGTTCATTTTCCGACAAATTGCAAAGCAAATTGTTCTCTTTTTCTTGAAATTGTCAGAGTTACAGCTTCGGTCTCAATCAAAGAACAGTAAATCAAAAAACGGTAAGGATAAATTGAAATACTTGAAATTCGTAGGGTTATTTAGCACTGGAACATAGCGCAGGGGTCCTGATTTGCTTCCGGTCAAAGGATGGTATGGATACGCATCCAAAAAAATATGAGTGTTTGCTTTGAATCCGTTCAAAAGGGTGCATGGGAAATGGGTGTCATTATCGAAAGGGTTGGGAGTCGAGGCCCATTTCGCACTCAAAGGTCCATGGGATTTTAAGCGGAAGCCACCTTTCAGCGAACTTGATGGACAGTCAATCGGGTTTTTTGCACCCTCGTTGAATGGGTTTCACTTTCAACCTTAAACTCAGCATTACATCTCCACTCTTCAGTGTAAGCGTCACTGAAATGGCAAACTTTCGAGTATTGACGAATTGTAAATCCAACCAAAGCGGTTTCTCGCTGCAGATCAGGGCTCGAATACCACTCATCTTAACTTTTCCTTCATATAGATTTGTCTGCAAATAATTTGATCACTTATCTTATGGTTAGCAGAAACCGAATCCGCAGTTTGAACAAGGCGACCCAAAGATCCCCATAAATCGGACTGGATATGATCATTTTTTTTTCAAGTCCACTTCTCAATCGTCAACAACGGATGCGATCCGTTTCTTGAACGTGCCTCTCCATTACAGTATGCATTCTCAAACTAATTAAAAAACCGAATTATAGCTTTATTTTGATGAGGTCGTATTTGTGAGAACAATGAATACAGAAATACAGGTGAACACTCCTGCCAAATTAATATCCAGGAGCAGTTCTTGGAGGAGGACAGTGATCGCAACCACCGCCGGCTCCCGTTTCTCCGAGAGGACCTTGTTCTCCTGGAGCTCCTGGGTTTCCTGGTGCTCCATCCCGTCCTGGATCTCCGGGCGGTCCCTGAGGTCCATCCTGTCCGGGTTGACCAGGCGCACCAGGCTGCCCATCAGGCCCAGGAGGTCCGGGAGGTCCTGGAGGTCCAGCTGGTCCATCTGGTACTGCAACCTCTTCAACGATTCCAGGTGCTCCTTGCTCACCAGGTTGACCTGGTTCTCCATCAGCACCAGGAGGTCCCTGTGGCCCAGGAGGTCCAGGCTGTCCTGGTTGACCATCGGGTCCGGGTTGTCCATCAGCACCTGGATTTCCTGGAGGTCCTTTGGGTCCTGGATTTCCTGGTGGTCCAGGTGGACCAGCTGGACAATCGAAGCAGAAGTCATCAGCCGTAGGGACTGCATCGGGTTCGGCGTCAGCACCGGGCTCTCCATTTGCTCCTGGTTGGCCATCCTTTCCATCTGGACCGTCAAGACCTGGTGGACCAGGAGGTCCAGCAAGTCCTGATTTACAGCTGCAGCAAGTAGAGGCTTGCTGAACAGTGTCAGCTTGAACTCCAGCATCAGTGGGACCTTTGTACTCGCTAGGAGCCTCGTATCCGGCTTGACGCTTCACGATCCCTCCTCGAACTCCCTTGATCCTTTGCATGCGCTCGTATTGATCGAAAAGTCCATTTGTTCGGTGTTTACAGAATTCGACTTCAGTCTGGAGGGATGACTGGACATGCTGCATGTAGTTGTACAGGGAAGGAATAGCAACGATAGCAGTAAGAGTTGCGACGGTACTGAAAGCGGAAACATAAGTTGAAGAGTAACAAAGCGAAAAATTCAAAGAATAAACATTGTAACGAAGTTGCTTGGTAAGAGTACATGGGTACCTGATACAGATGCCGAAAAAGGCTATGCGTCGGAGGCTTTCCGCCTCGAGCCATAGCTTCTTGTCGTCGCCGCTATCGGAGGGATACATACCGATAGCATCAAAATGCCCCTAGCAGCTTTTATAGCGATCCGCGGTCCCGCCTCTCCCATCGGTTTACCGGTCCGCGTGCGGGTTTCTAGGGACTTATTACCTAACCGCCTAATCTCATTCGAAAGTACATAGAGGGACTCACAGATAACAGTCCCTTACAACATGGCCACACTCCGATTTGCATACTATGACCGCCGCCAAGCCACTGGCTATTCTGGCTAATCAGTCGACAACTCGGGCGTCGGCAAAACTCAAATCGTGATAAGTTCTCGCGATAGCGAATGACTATTGCTTGTACTAGGTAACATCTGGAAATGTTAACATTGACACTGTGGTGCGCGATTTGTTTTTTTTTAACCTTGGGGATATGCGCTCCACAAATCAAACCCTCATCATCGCGTGCTCGTAAACGGCTAGACACACTTGTCTAATAGGCCGATTTGTCCGGTCTTAGAATCGTATCGCCACAGGATGTAGCAAATGAAGCTCAGATGACGGCTTCGGGTTGTGATACGAAGAAGAAGAAATCTTATCCTGCTTCGTAAAGACTGCTAATCTATTGGAAGACACATATAGAGCCCGTTTGGCATACATGAATCCATATGGAATGATTTGCGCTCCTTCCATTCTACACACTTCCATTAGTTGATTTTTCTTAGGAACTTTGACGACGTTGAACGACAACTCAAAATACTCACAACAGGCACTTTACTTAAATGCTTGTACTCTCACGAATTGGTCAGATAATCGTTGTTATGGAAAGAAAGGCTAGTCGGCCAGCGAGAAACCGCTCGAATTTCCCGTCACTACAAGATTCATATACCCGAGCAGACTTATTAGCTCTGCCCTGAGGGAATTCCAAGGTGTTGTGTTGTAGTGATATAACTAAGTAGGTTGATGTTGAGGGATTTGTACTGGTTATCTATCCAGTACAAATCTCTTAACATTCGTCTAGATGAGATTGGCGCATGTGCCCTTTAGTCAGCACCAAAAGGGATACCTCAATGATCCTTCCGATACCAAAGTCGTGTGACGACTAAAAGAGGACACTTCCGAGGATGAGAATGCAGTTTTTTTTCCGTGCCCAAGCGGCCTCGTCATGTCTATCGGAGGCACCAGTCTAGATTACGATTGGATGCTGTTGGACAGGACAATCAGCTAGTACCATCGGCCTGTCGTGGGTTTTTTCGTTGTCGTACGACGGCGACGACACTACTTTGAAACGGCGACTCGTTCAAAGTAGCCCTGAATGCGTAGTTAAAACTGAGTGTTCGACGGCACTTGGAGTAGTTTACCTAAGAAATCAGCTTAGGCAATCTCACGAACCGATTTCAGTTCCATCACCGTCGGTCGCTCAAATCAAGCATATCGATCTACACTTGTGTTTACATAAGATCCATGTTTGGGAAAGTTGTCACGCAAAACTTGCGTGTACTGAAAGTATTCTGAGTAATTGCCCTTGTGCTATGATAGGGTGCGAAAAACTCCATAGAACCGCTGGGAACTGAGTGTGTAGTTCCCTGTATCGATTCTCCGATCAGATATCTAGTACGGTTGACGCTGGTCGGCAACGGGGCATAGTTCCGCGAACCTATGAAAATTCAAGTTCCATCAGCTTATAGCTAAGCCGTAGCATTAGTGAATTCAAGTATACCTGTTCGCTGACCCCGTACGACCATCATCATCATCACTAATCGAGAACGTCAACCGGAACGGTCAAGTTGGCGGGCGGTCTGACGGCGGTCCCTGCGAATACACAGTGCCGGTAGCCTCTTTTTTTGGAAAGACCCCATTTTCCGTCGTTTTTGTGACGATGCGAGCGACTGAAGGATGAAAGATCTGGTCGGCGCAAAGTGAAGAGGTCAAACAGCATTTGAGTTGAGGATCTTATACAGTCAATCAATATGTTTTGGGGTATCAATCTTTGTTCTTCTAATGTAAAGCCAGCCAATTTCTCGCAGAAGCTGGTTGCTGGACGAGCGCTAGCTGTCATTCAGCTTGGAATAGCATTCAATGCACTTTGCTAAGCTGATTATGGGGATTTTCTGTCGTGTTGATTCTTTTTCGCGTCAAAGACAAATTTTGAATGGGCGAAGTGAAAGTGACAAGGTCGTCTGATAGGCGGCTGCCGAAACAGGACGGCTGCGACAACATTTCTTGAGAACGCCAGACTTTAAAATAAGGCTAAACAATGGACTGTCGCGTAATATCGGAGCGACAATCTATGCTCGATAATAGCCAAAACATGAGAACGGGTGCAGGGACACAACTAATGGGGCTCCAAGGCTGGATCTTTCTGCAGACGGACTGTTTTGCTCGAAGTAATCAAAAACGCCGAATGATGGTTCTGGGAAAATAGGATGTCAGACCGATGAGGAACGAGTTTCTTGAAAACCAAATTCTGACCGGGTTATGATGTGCCAGTAAGTCCTTTTGTTTTTTATGAAGACCACAGTGAAAAGCCCTTGTTCCTAAATGAGCTCATATGCAGATTGAGCTTGTTATATTGGTTACTTCAGTGAGAGTGTACATAATGCAGGTCCCCAGATTTTCTCACCTCCGAAAGATGACCTTCTTTCATTCGGGTCTTATGTAAAACCCCGAGGGCCTTCACTGTAATAGACAGTGGAGGGTAACCTGAGAGCAGCTAGTAGCACGCATTCACAATAGTCATTACTAAGAACACTCGTTTGGGTGGTGAGGATCGATTTGAAGGGCTTATTTTGACAGTTAGATGAGGTGAGAGCTGCCGTTTTTAGTAAGCAATGTAATTCACACCGGGCCAGAAAATTGGCGAAGGGCTGTTGATGACTAATCCCTCCACTCCAGTGGACTTCAACTAGAAAGAGGAAAAAGAAATAATCGGACATCGGCCTACAGAACAATATCGGGCAGTTCTGACGCCGATTTGAGGATTCTAGAAGATAAAAGTCGGGATGAGTTGCTATTTTTGGTTAGTGCTGCTACTTAAAGATAATTCGAATAATACTGTCTGTCTTTGAGCGTCGTTGTTTTTTTTATTATCGGAGCTTCTATCAAACCGTGGCCCTTCGGGCTCCCAGTTTCAGAGGAACAGCTCGTTTTCTTACAGTTCACATACGTATATTTTCTTTGCAGAATGGCACATTGCACTCATCTTTGTTTCAGCTTTTTTTCAGAAGTTTCATCTTTTGACAACAACTCATCCAGAGTTCAATACAAAACATGCAAACATTCGAACACTAGCATAGCACCTGAGCAGCTGGTAAAATTGGGGGCAATGGCATGCTGTTGTGCAGGCCAATGATCCATACTTGGAAGACTTATGTCGGCTTCCAGAGAATTCCGAGCCCCTTTGTATGAAGCGAAAGACGAAGTCGTGGCTTACTGGGAACAAGCAAATTAACGCCAGGTATTCTTCAATTATGGACCAGTTGTTCCTCATCATTATACTGTTCACCGAGCTATTGAGAGATGAAATTCGTGAGCTACGCCAAGAAATCGAAGATCAGGTGGGCCGGACACGTAATGCGATATGGTGATGATCGTTGGACCAGGGCGGTTACCGACTGGATCCCTCGGGACATCAAACGAACTCCAGGAAGGCCGCCAACGAGATGGTCAGACTTCTTCACCAAAGCTCTGAGCGAAAGGAATGTTGTCGATGATCAGCGGGACAGATGATACAGGTGCTTGAAAGGTCTCTCTACAAGAAACCCAGGTTGATCACGATTTGTCACCATCCAGATCTTTTTTGAATTATCCCCCTAGCACACAATGATCAAAGCAAAGTCCTCAGAAGGATTTCTTCTACCACACCGTTCTGCTTTTACCTGATTCATGATCCCTTTCCGTTCCGCTTTAACTTGATTCATGAGGCAGGTCTTAAGCACACTTATTGCTTTACAGGGTCACCCTCGAATGACTGACTATGTCTTTTTAGCACGAGCTTTAGATTAGATTTATAGATTCAGCTTTTGCCTTGGCTATCAGCCGCGATACTTCATGATAGTTCAGTAGACAAAAACCTTAAGCTCTACGCACAGTAGTCAGCAAAGCAGATATTGTTAAGTATCGTATGTAAGTATGAAAGCCTTTGTTGTCCTCAGATCTCATCAACGGCTGTTCAGAAGGCCGATAATTGATAATCGCATCACTGCTTTTTGTTGCTACTCGAACGTTGTCACGTAGGGAATTCCTAGGGACTCCTACGATCGACGATCGCTTAGTGCGCACATTTAGGTCATTTTAGCTCAGCTCGCTTAAGTTAAGAAATGTGGCTCATACTTGTTCAGTTATTATAACGTTTCGCCAGAATCTATTGGAATGAATGAAGACCCCCCTACCCCCTTCTCGCGAAAGAGTCACAGCGTATTCAATGGTATATCATGTGACTATTAAAAAACGACAGCACTCAAGACTCCCGATTAAGAACCAAAAGATCGTAGAACACTTCTAGCTAGATGGTCTACAGGGCGTCGCTTTTTCCTCAGCATGATACCATACAATATCAGCATAATACGTTCACCAACATCAAATCGAGGATTTTGGCTCTGAAGTTTGTGGTATAGCCCACGTTCGAATACCACTTATCACGTCCGGCGCAGCTGGGAACATATTCAAGAGCCCCGACGACGTTAGGATTCGGGAGTCCAACTTTTTCGATTCCCAACCAAATGAGTTTTTCAATGGGCACCCATTTTTTGCCAAGTAGTTGAAGATATAGTAGCAATGAAGATAGAGAATTCATTTCGGATGAATGGGCTCTACTTATCTTTTTATGATACGAATAGATCTCGGCCAAAAACGACGTGTCATAGTGTTTAACCTATCAAGAAACATCTTAGCTACTGAAGTTATTAAGAAGCGCTTTGCATTTGGAAATATTACCCTTTAACTGAAATATTACTCGATTTTTTGTATGTTCGTGTCTTTGTATTGGGTTTACGAAACAATTTCAGTATCCAACTCCCCAATTTTGCTTTCGAGTACACAAACGCCGGTTTTGGGATGACGAT